CCGAATTCCTTTGGAAAAGTGGACCTTGTACAAAGATAACAGACGTCGATGGGGCAATCTGACAACCAATATGTCAGAAAGTTACAACAATGTCCTCAAAAGTGTCAGGTTCCTGCCCTGTAGAGCGTTGGTACAGGCCACAATGGACAAGACTCTAGCTTTGTTTGAACAGGAACAAAAAAAGTCCACAAGCTGCAGGAGTCTCATTCCGACCGAACTCTATTCCGCCTATCTGGTGTTGGACAGGACAGCGGCGACTCACGAGGTGCAATGTGCGGACGCCGACGGATCCCAATACAACGGTGATGACTGGTCTACGCGCTAGTGGAAGAGGGCAAAACAAGTATGTTTTTTTATTATTTATTTGTCCATTCAAATTAGTTGTTTTTTATTTTTTTATATATATCAATCATTGTGGAAAACAGGTTTACGGTTGATTATCAGCATCAGCGTTGTACATGTCGGAAGTGGCAGACATATCGGAAACCATGCTCTCATGCATTAGCCGTGTGTCGTTACCGGGGTGATCAACCGAACTTGTTGTACAATTCTCACTTTAGGACGGAGAACTGGGTTGCTCAATTTTCTAATTGGAATTTTGCTCCAGTTGGAAATCCTGACACGTGGCCGCAGGTGGGATGGAATTTGATTCCGAATTGGGACAGGATCATCTCGAAGCCTGGACCCGGTCGTGCCCAAACGAGACGCTTTAAAATGCAAATGGATCGTCGGGCGCGCCGCAGAAGGGACCGAGATCAATGGATCGTCAGAATTCGTGTTTTGTTTAATTAATTAGCTTAATTACGAGATTAAGTGAACACGGAATTTGGTAATCCGTGTTCCGTTCGTAATTAACGGAACACGGATTTTCGTGATCCGTGTTCGTAGTAAAATTACACTTACACGGATTTTCAGAATACGTGTTTCGTTAAAACACGAATTGTGAGAATCCGTCCGTTTTATTTTTTTCCACAATTTTTTTTTTTGTTTTATTTTAGTCCACTTATTTTTTATTTTTTTTAAATAAATAAATGATTCCTTCTTTCTTTGACTAATTTTTTCCCCTGGGTTTTTATTAACAAGGTTTTTAATGAGATATGTAGTAATGTTTAAAGGAGAGTGTTATAAATATATTGATGTATGAACGTCACTAAAATACTTGCCAGGCCTAAAGCCCATTAGCTAGGTTAAATTAGGTTTAGGTCTATTTTTTAACGCTTGTAAAAGGGAGAACACGATGAATGAAAAGGATGATTTTTCTGATCATTCTCTATTAGAGTTACATTTATATTATTTTTTATGTTCGGTGTGGAATGATAAATGTTTGGTAAAAATTGAAGATTTCCATTTATACATCTCATAAAAATTAGTTCCCATTGATTAATTTCATTTACTCATAAAACGAAAAAGAAATGAGAGAAGTATGTAGCAATTAGATAAACAGCCTGCAGAAGGACTACCCAATATGTTTGGGCCTCTTAATTTTGGTCCATTTTCAGATTAATTTTCAGTCAAGAGGTGGCCAAATGCCGGGGGCCCGGGGAATTTATCGACAAAAATCAACTATGACCCGCCTTTCAACCCCCGACCCGAACCGCCGGAACCAAAAAAGAAAAATGAAGAACCGAAACCGACCTGCATTGCCAAGGTTTTGGTGCAACGAACCGACAAAATCCGGGCCGGGTCGAAACCGGCCATGTCTATAATTTCAGTCCAAAACCAACTCAAAATCTACTACAGTACTACTATTTTATTTTTAGTCATCCCAAAAAACACAAGGATTTTCGATAAAGGAAAGGAACAGGGCTCAAATTAGGGTTTCAAAAGCACATCAATCGGATGGGCAAATCCAAAGACGATCACAAGCTGAATAGATCTTCTCTTTCTCCGAGAGGTTCGCATTCATTTTCTCCTTGATTGATTTATGTCGTCGTACTTGAATTTCTGTGAATTATTTCTGCACTTGATCTTGTTTTTTCACTCATTCTGTGGTCTCTCTGTCGTCCGAGCAGATGAAGAGAGAACCAAAAGGCATAAAAGTAAGGAAGATGACAGAAAACACAAGCCCAAGACGAAGCAAAAATCTCATAAAATTTCCAAGCGACGTTCTGATAAAGGTACAT